GGGCAACATAAGGAAACCCTGTATCTACAAACAACAATGTAACCGTGGGCGTGGGACATGGTGCTGCACGACTGTGCTCCTCGGAGGCTGAGGTGGGAGGATCCCTTTTGGCTGGGAGTTTGAAGCTGCAGTGAGCTATGATTGTACCACAGCATTTCAGCCTGAGTCACAGGGGGAGACCTTGACTCTTTCTCTCTTTTTTTTTTTCCCAAGACATAGTGTTGCTCCGTTGCCCAGGCTGGAGTGCAGTGGTGCGATCTTGGCTTACTGCAACCTCTGCCTCCCGGGTTCAAGTGATTCTCCTGCCTCAGCCTCCCGAGTAAGCTGGGATTATGGGCGCCCACCACCATGCCTGACTAATTTTTGTATTTTTCTTTTTAGTAGAGACAGGGTTTCACCAGGTTGGCCAGGCGGGTCTCGAACTCCTGATCTCGTAATCCACCCTCCTTGGCCTCCCAAAGTGCTGGGATTACAGGTGTGAGCCACCGCACCCGGCGGAGACCTTGTCTCTTAAAAAATAATAATAATAAGGCTTTACATTTCTTTTCACATGTTTAAAAGTTGTTTGTATTTTTATTTTCTAGTGAACAGTGTGCCTGTGTCCTTTGTGACGTTTCTCTGTTGTTTTCTCTGACTGGTGTGCGATAGACTCACTTCCTCAGATCCCTGGTAGGCAGTGTCGGCATCTCGTGCTGATGTCTGTCAGTTTTAACCATTCAGGAATGCCGTGCTTCCTGTTGGGAATCTGCAACTCTGATTTCCAAAATCAAAAGTAACTTTTGTGTTCCTCTTTCAGGATGCCGAGGAATGTGACAGGGCTGGGAGTGTGGCCACCTGCCAGGCTGTCATGCGTGCCGTGATTGGGATTGGGATTGAGGAGGAAGATCGGAAGCACACCTGGATGGAGGATGCCGACAGTGTGAGTTGGCAACAGGAGCCTTTGTCCGCAATATGGAGTCTCTGCTCGTGGGAACAGCAGGCACTTTATAACTACTAGGCAATTTTAAAACCTTTTTTTTTTTTTTTCTGAGGCGGAGTCTCGCTCTGTCGCCCAGGCTGGAGTGCAGTGGCGCAACCTCGGCTAATTGCAACCTCCATCTCCTGGGTCCATGCCATTCTCCTGCCTTAGCCTCCCGAGTTGCTGGGACTACAGGCGCCTGCCACCACGCCTGTCTAATTTTTTTGTGGTTTTAGTAGAGACGGGGTTTCACTGTGTTAGCCAGGATGGTCTCGATCTCCTGACCT